AAAAAAAAAAAAAAAAAAACGCTTGTATTTTGGGAATGACTTTGAAAATGTTTTTCCACTTTAAATGTATTAGCAAAGAAAGATAATGATAATAATAACAGAAAACAGTACTGCCAAAAGGAATCAATCTTTCTTTTTCCTTCTTTTGTAACCCTTGCTCAAGATCTTTGATTCCCAAATCCACAAACTGCTGGTGCAGAGGTTGCCAGGCATAAAAACACACAACATTGGTCACATTGAAACAACACTAAAAAAACTGTTATGGGCATTGTTTTTGCTAATTCTATTCTTTCATTTCCGGCCATTTCACGAAGTGTACAAGTTTAACAAATATAAATACCGGTTCATAGCAACAAATCAGCTGACACAGAGAAAGATGTTCACACACACAACCGCATAAAACTCTACCATCAGTGAGTGGTACAATAATGGTCCACTGTTTCTGCTGTTGCTTTGTACAAGTTTAACACTTATCGCTATACAGAAAATGGATGAGCACTGAAAAATTGGACAAATAACGATCTGTTAATGCTTCTGATGATTTACCACACTGAAAGACACCAAACAGCGCTAACGGCAACGGCAGCGGCAACACCAACAGCAGCAATAACTCCATTCATCCGCATTGTTGTCGATCGTTGAAAACCTTCCGCAGATACTAATGTTATGCAAGTCTCAGCATCATCATCATCACCATCATTATCCGTATACAACACTGGCAACAGCAGTAACAACACGAACAACAACAACAACAAAACAACAACAATAACAACAATGACAAATAACATTAGCGGCAGATTTTCAAAGGAATATTTTAAGATTATTTAAACTAAAGAGATACATAAACAAAACAGTTGGAAGAAAAGGGTGGAGAATGAAAGAAAAAAAAAAAAACAGAAAGTGAAAAAAAAAAGAAAGTTAGAATGTGCATATGTTCGGCGTTATTTGTTGATTCAAATCAACTTGAACAAACCGAGGCCACAGGCCTATATAGTTCGGCATACCGAGCCACTGACTGCAGTTGCACCCCGTAGAAAATATGTCGATACAATTCTCGGCCACTGGTTTGCTGCTATGTTTTGCACTGTTATTGGTAAGGAATAAGCCAAATTGAATTTATAAAATGATTTATAATCACCTTTTCTTTTTTTCTTCTTAACTTTTTTAATTCTTTCCTTATAATTCACCAATGTTATTGTCTTTTTTTCTTTTGTATTTTATTAAT